TATCTTTATTTATGCAGAAGTATCTAGCCGGGCAGATATCACAGGCACTGGCTTGTGTGTGATTCATATAGTATCCATCGTTGCATGGAATAGGTGCACTACTTCCTAATTCACAATATGAACCAGCAGGACACTCATCACCAGTCACACCATCCAATGGGGAGCTTGTATTAGCACGACTCGTACAGTAAAACCCTGGATCACAGTCTCCTGTGACATTAGTCTGGCCTTGTGTGTCACAGTATTTGCCACCTGTACAATCTATACAGTCTGATAATTCATCATGACCAGTGTCATGTAAAAAGGTGCCAATTGGACATAGTATTGGATCATATGTGCCCTCTGGGCAATATCTACCAGCTGGGCAAGTATCCCCATAGACCTCACTGATGGGGTTTGGATCAATAGCACCAAGTGTACAATAGAATCCTGGTAAGCATGGTCCTGTTGGTGCAGTAAGACCTTCTGTTTGACAATAGTATCCTGGTGTACACGCTTGACATTCTGTAACATTCTCAAGTCCATACTCATCACTGAATGTGCCAACTGGACATTTGATCCCTTGATCGGATCCTTTTGGACAGTAGTAGCCTGGCTGACATTCATACCCAGTCAAACCATCTGTAGGTCTAGAGTTATTAGCTGCTGAGACACACACAAATCCAGCATCACAGACATCGGCATATGCAGTCAAACCTTGCCCATCACAGTACGTACCACCTGGACATGGCTGACATTGAGCGTGCGTTTCCAACTGGGTAATGTTGCTATAATACCCTTCAAGGCATGGATACTGATGGCTTCCTTGTGTACTTTCAGGACAATAATAACCAGCTACGCAATCCACTGGGATGACAACACCATGACTAGCGACACCATAGATCAATGCAGCCTCTGTAGCATCACAATAATATCCAGCAGGACATGCTTTACATGTAGGCTTGCCTTCTTCATCCTGATACTGTCCAGATATGCATGGTTCAGGTGTTGGACTGCCAGTCGGACAAAAATGGCCGATGGTGCAATTGAACTCATTAGGTGTTGGTGTGCTTTGTCCAGCGGGACAATAGTAACCTTCAGTGCAATCACCAGTGGGTTCAGTATTATTATTTCCTTCACAGTACATTCCAGGTGTACAATCCATGCAGTCACTTATCTCCACATTACCTTCTGTATCGGAGTAAGTACCAGCAGGACATGGAGTTGGAGTGTGTGATCCCTGTACGCAGTAGAAACCAGCTGGACATAGCCCATGGGTTGGATCAGGTAGATGTTCTCCTCCATCACAGAAGTATCCTGCATCACATAAACCATTTGGCTGAGATCTTCCCCATTCCAGACAGTACATGCCTTCATCACACTCCACAGGGTAAGGTGAACCAGATGGACAGTAAGTTCCTGGCCAACATTTACCACCAGTGTAGTTGACTAATGGACAAGTACATTCAGAAATATCAGTAGCATTGCTGAATGGCAGTGGAGTACTAGTATATGACCCACCAGTACAGTACCATCCTTCACTGCAGTTACCTGAGGTAAATTCTAAACCATCACTTTCACAGTACTCTCCAGCAGGACATTCCAAACAGTCTTCTAAGGCATCACTTCCAGCCACTGGATTATACGTTCCCATTGGACATGGATACTCTATATCATACCCTGTTCCAGCTGGGCAGTAATGACCTGTTGGGCATATAGTGTCTAAGTATGTTGTTGCATTCTCAAGACAGTAGTAACCAGCTTGACAAAGCTCACAGACAGGTCTCCCTGTCAGCTCATTGTAAGTTCCTGGAGCACAACCAATTGGATCAGGTGATCCAACAGGGCAATAGTGGCCCACTGGGCAGATGGCCCCATCACCTGTGTGTCCACCATTGGGTTCAGGCATGTTGACTCCATATCTGCAGTAGTACCCCGCTGAGCATAATCCGGTCACATTGGCACTGCCCGGTTCTTGACAGTAGTATCCACCATCGCATTGCAAACATTGATCTTGTTCATAAATACCAAAGATTGGATTATAGGTTCCAGATGCACAGAGTTCTAAATCTGCACCAGTTTTCGCAGGGCAGAATAACCCAGGTGGACAGGGATCAGCTCTATCACGATTAACACAGTAAGAACCAGGTGGGCAGTCATAACACTCTGATGCCATGGAATGGTTCATATAAGTTCCATTTGAACAATACGTATGACTTGGGGATCCTTCTTCACAATAAGAGCCAGGTGGACATATATCACCAGTAACACCATCTCTAGGTGTTGGGGAACTAGCTGATCCAATACAGTAGAAACCTTCATAGCAGAAACCAGATACATCTGACAGACCAGTACCATTACAGAAATAACCTGGTGTACATGGAAGACAATCTGATGGGCTACTTTTCATTGGATCAGGCTGGTACGTTCCAGCAGGACAATCGATTGGTTCTGGACTTCCTTCTGGACAGTAGCTTCCAGCTGGACAAATGTCACCATAAGATTCATTGACTGGATTGGGATCTACAGCTCGTATGCGACAGTAATAGCCAGCTAAACATGTTCCATTGGGTTCAGTCAGGCCAGACCGCATACAATGCATTCCTGGATAGCAATCTGTACAGTCAGCTTCACTTGGAAGTTTATCACGATCTCCAAAGGTACCTTTAGGACAAGGTGTATGCCAGGAGGCACCAGCTTCACAGAAAGTACCTTGTGGACAGGGACCACCAGTAGCATCAGCAGGTTCAGGTGTTGGGGTGGTCGCATACAATACACAGTAGTAACCAGCTGCACATATACCTGTTGGTGTTGTAATGTTTTCAGCCTCACAATAATGCCCCTCAGGGCAAGGTCGACATTCTGCTTCACTTTCAAGATTTGTAGTGTTGCTGTACGTACTGACAGGGCATGGGAACTGACGAGCTGTAAGTGTCCCATTGGGACAATTGAACCCAGCTGGACAATCCTTTGGTGTTACAACTCCATGTGATGGCGCCCCAATACCACTTTGTTCTTCCTCAATTGCTTCATTCTGATCGCAGTACATTCCAGCTGAGCATTCAATGCAGCTGCCTTGTCCTGGAAGTGGTTGGTAATACCCGGACATGCATGGTGTTTGGTCTGGACTACCAACTGGACAGGCATGACCAGCCAGGCATTCATTACCAGGTGGTTGAGCAGCTGTGGATCCCTCTGGACAGAACCATCCTTCATCACAATCTCCATTAGGTAGATCTCTACCCCATCCTGTGCAGTACATTCCAGCAGTACAAGGTATACAGTCATTGTGGAGATGGTTAGCATAACGATCAGAGAAAGTACCAGGCTCACATGGTTCTGGGTAGGAGCTTCCTTCAGGACAATAGTGACCCATTGGACACATATCGCCAGTTGTTTGATTCACTGGATCTGGGAATATCGTACTTCCATTGCAGTAATAGCCTGCCATACAGAGTCCACTTTCAGCATCTAGTTTATCATCCAGACAATAATAGCCAGGCGTGCAAGGAATAGGTTGAGATGATCCAGCTGGGCAGAACGAACCAGCATAGCACATACCTCCAGTAGACTGAGCAGGACAATGACATTCACTGCTATCATTTCCAAGAGTGGTTGGTTTATCTTTCCATGCCGCTAAAGAGCAATACCATCCAGGTGCACAGAGACCAGCAGGTTCTTCCATCCCTCGGAATGGACAATATGTTCCTGGTGTGCAGAGCTCACAGTCATCAACACTCTCACCTCTTGTGCGATTGTTGTATGTACCATTGTTACAAGGATATTGAATATCAAATTCGGTGTTAAGAGGACAGAAATGACCCACTGGACATTCTGTGATTGTGATGCTTCCTTCCTGGCAATAGTAACCTGCTGGACAATCTAAACAAACACTCTGTTCTTCAATGGGATTGTAAGTACCAGCAACACACAGAGTAGGAACACTGCTACCAATCTCACAATAGGAACCAGCTGGGCATGGTCCACCATTCACTGATGTTTGGCTCGGTCTGGAACTGTTTGATCCAAGGGTGCAATAAAAGCCTGCTTCACAGAAACCACTTGGGTACTCCAACCCTGGCACCTCACAGTAGTAACCTTCAAGACATGATTGGCATTTAAATTCTGATGTAATTCCAGTTTGGTTATTGAAAGTAGATGGAGGACATGGTTCAGGCTCAGCAGTTCCAAGACTACAATAGAATCCTGGAGGACAGATATTAGCATCGCCCAGAGATAACAAACTTGGCATTGGTGAATCCGAGCCACTTCTACAGTAGTAACCAGCATCACATTGACCAGACTCCACTGTTGTATTCAATTCATTACAATAATAACCACCAGTGCAAGTGGTACATTGGGTCTCATTCACAGGCCAGTCTGTGAACTGAATGTTCCAAAAGGACAGGATTCCCATACGTGTCCAGTACCTTCAGGGCAGTAGAATCCAGCTGGACAGTCTTGAGGATTAGAACCACTAGTGCAGTAATGACCTGACGGGCATCGCAGACAAACTTCATTCAATGTTGTATCAGTGTATGTACCAGGCTCACATGGCAATGGTTGACTTGAGCCTGCTGGACAGTAGTGACCAATTGGACAGACATTTCCAGTGGTTCCGTCTGTTGGTGTTGAGGTTGACGCACTACCGCTGCAAAAGTACCCTGCACTACAGTTCCCTGCCGTTGTTGACATACCATATTCAGGGCAATAGTCTCCAGGTGTACATCCTAGGCATTCATCTTCAGATGTTAGACCCAAGGTTGGATTATACGTTCCAGGCGGACACAAAGTTGATGTATTTGAACCAGATGGACAGTAGGCACCTTCTGGACAGATGTCGCCAGTTGTTCCATCAAGAGGCGTTGACATGTAAGCTCCACTGATGCAATAGTAACCTGCTGTACATTCACCAGATGGGGCTGAGAGGCCTTCCTGACCACAGTAATATCCACCAGAGCAAGGAGTACATTCATTGACAGAAGTTAGCTGAACCCTGTCACTAAACGTCCCATTAGGACATGGAAACTGTACAGCATACTCAGTACCATACACACAGTAATGTCCAGTTGGACAAGGCTGTGGATTCTGTATGCCATGAGAACAGAAAGTATCATTCTGCAGTGTAGCGTCACAGTAGAAACCAGATGGACACGTCTTACATGTGGACTGCTCCCACTCATCCTGGTACTCTCCAGGAATACATGGACTCGGCTGCACACTACCAATTTCACAATAGTGTCCAGGGGGACACTTGTAATCTTCTGGACGACTAACATTCTGACCACCAGGACAATAGAAACCAGCATCACAGAGATCTGTAGGTTCTGACAAACCATTATCCCCACAGTATGAACCAGGCAGACATAGATTACAGTCTTCAAATGCTGTGTTCCCAGTAGCATTAGTGTAGTATCCAGATGGACATGATACTGGATTGTAAGTGCCTTGTGGACAGTAATGTCCTGTTGTGCAAATATCACCAGTTACACCATCAGTTGGATCTCGTACAGAGGCACCAAGTGTACAGTAATAACCCATGTCACATTCACCAGAAACACTGGCCAGACCAGCTGAATCACAGTAATGACCTATGAAAAAAACAAAACATTTATTTAACATTAGAATATTAAAATAGTACCAACAAGCCAGTGACGTTGAATTAAACCCAGGTCCCGAAGAAGACATCATCAAGGCCATGCAAGACATGAAAGGCGACTTTTTTGCTGAAATTAAACGAAGTGGTTATGAAATTCGACAGGAACTTAAAGATATGTAACATATTCAAGATATAATACGAAAAAAATGTGCACGGTTAGATGATCAGGTGTTTAAATTGGAAAGTCTGTGAATATATTGAAGGATGAAGTTGGAGAATTTTTTTAAAATCGTAATATTCAAGATCTAATCAACAATATATCAAAGAGAGGCAAAAACAATTCAAAAAATAAAATAAAGGAAACTGCATGCAGTTGATGGCACAAATTTATGTTTCATGGAAAAAAATGTCATCAACACTCCATTTTTAGACTAAAAATATATTTTTTTGGCCGAATATAAGCATTGGTATTATATAAGCCTACTAACCTGGTGAACATGGTGTTGGCTGACTTGATCCACCTGGGCAAAATTCACCTGGATCACATTGCCCACCAGTGGCATTGTTAGGACAGTAACAACTTGATGTCATGTTATTATAGCCATAATCTGTTGGCATATCAGACCAGGCTCCACGAATACAGTACCATCCTGGTGAACAGGATCCACTTGATGTAGCCAGTCCAGGTGTTGCACAGTATTCACCTAGAAGAAAAATGTAAATTAGCTTATTATCGTATGCACATATTAATCAAAATAATAAATTTTTTTACAAAGAACCCACCACAGAACCTTCTATTGTCATATATTCAATAAAATTAAAGCAGGGAAGTCATCATCTGCGCATGCGTCGGATGGCCATAGCGTGTCAATGTTTACAAACAAGTGTCTACCCATGAGCCCTTGCATTTTTAGCATGTGTTGTGTGATTGGGACTCAATTCCTGCGCCTGTGCAGGTGATGACCCTCCTACTTCAATATTTTTAATAGAAACAAGTCTACACCAAGAAATATATGTAAAATTTCAGAAATAAGTCTAACATGAGAATTCTGCTACAAAAATGATCCAAGATGGCATTAATGTTACTTATAGATTTGATTATGACAAAGATTGATAAATGGGAAGTGACACATATGTTTGTTACACTGAATATCTTTCCAACCTGTGAATTACAAATATGAAACTGATTGTGTTTGATTAAGTGGAAATAACTTACACAGGCAAACTCTAAATTCATAATCAAAAGTAAAGTTGACAAATCCAAGAGCACAAAACAAATGACTGACAAACCATCAACAAGTACCGTAGATGTTATTTCTAATCTATTCCAAATATAATAATTATTTGAGATGATATTTTTTTTTTACCTGGTGGGCATGGTACACAGTCATCTAATGATTGTTTTCCTATCACAGCATTGTAAGTACCAGCTGGACATGGATACTCAGTAGCAAACTCTGTTCCTGCTGGACAGTAATGACCACTAGGACATGGTGTATTAGAGTATGTGGTAGCGTTCTCTGGACACCAATACCTGCAATGTCAATGAGTGAAGAGGTGTAGGCTTGTTTATTTATACAATACAATAATTTGATATGTATGATACAATGTATGACTATTTCATGATTCTATATCAAAATATTTCTTTTTTTGACAGCTACAGAATATGAATTTCCCTAAAAAATCACTAAAAATGTGTCTCATGTGATGCCAAAGTACCAAACAGGAATAATAGTCTTGAAATGATATTTGATGCAAAGTAGGAGTAATGATAGGAAATACTATTCATTTCTTGAAAGTATTTAGACAACATGGCCATAGATTTTACAGTCGAGAATCTAATCATTTGAACACTATAATTTTTCCCACCAAAATTTTATATAATTTTTTTTATAATTTATTTTTTAAATTTTAGACCAGACAGACATAATTGGCTACATGTTTTGATTAAAACTTTTGAAAATGTGAAAAAAATCCCTCAATTTTGTGAATTTGTTTTTATTTTCATTTGTAGCTTTTTTTTCTGTTTCTTAGAAGGGAAAATTCATCCAAAATAAAATAGAATAGAATTAAGGTTTGGTTTAGTTAGTAAAGAAGTTTGGCATGGTCAGAATTAATTAATAAACATATTAATTACTGACCACAAAAGATGCAATCATAGAACAGTTGGACAACAGACTACATCTGCCTTTCTACAGCCTTTTCACTACTCAATAAATAATTCCCACACTCTATGTTTTTTCAATTCAAACATCACATGCTTAACAAAAAAGCTCAAATTTTAAGATATATCAGAATTTTTGGAAAACGCAAAACTGAAAGTTATAATATTACTGCATTCTTACCCAGGTTCACATTCTAATACATTCAGCCTGCCCTTCTAGTGGATTATATGTACCAGGGAAACAACCAAGTGGGAAAGATGTTCCATTTGGACAGAAATGACCTGTACAATTAAACACATATACAAGAGTAAATATTAGGAATTTGAACTAAGGGAACACAATTCAACATTCAAAAGTGCATTGAATTAATGATGATTTGATGGTTTTTGTTTTTTTTAAAGTCATAATTACGATCAAGTCTGGAAATATAATTCCAGAATGAGAGAAGATAACAACCTAGAAGATAAGAGTATAGCAGAAACTAGCGTAGTGTGTATGCGGTATGATTATTCTTTAAGGAGAGGCTGGAGATCCATATGACAACAGATGGCACTTTTAAAACAGATCTGTGATATTCCAGGACGTTAAACTTTGGTACACACACAAGGTTGCAACATTCATGGTTGTTAGCATTATTTTATGCTAAATTTTCACTTACTCCTTCACCAAGTTAGGAACCAATCATTGGACAGAAAATATGTTTTGATCAATTCATGACAATTAATATGTATTTTGTATACTGGCAAGAATCCAGAGACAAAATATTACAAGACTGTTAAAATGGCACTAACCTTCTGGACAGGGTCCACCGGTGGAATCTACTGTAGGATTGTTAGGGTCCATAGCCCCTCTTAAACAATAGAATCCTGCATAACAGTCTCCAGAGGGCGCAGTTAACCCTTCATCACTGCAGTATGTTCCATAAAGGCAATCTGTACATTCAGCCTACAAAAAAAAGGGAAGAATAAATGCAAATGTAAATTTAAAAAAACAATAGGATTCTTAATATTGAAAATTAACTGTTGTTGTAATTGTATAGAATTATTTATTAAGATACATGTGATTTAAGCCAGGGTTGACTTTTCCTTTATAAAACCTGCTATCACTGTGAGGGAACTGTTTAAGGATGTAGTAGAGGTTTTTTTCTTTGAAAATATAAAATTTACTTTTTTCCATATTCTCTCATACAAATATATGAAGCATGCATTTAACTAGAAAAAACAATTGTAGAGATGGTTTAGGAGGGTAATACACTTTGAATAAATCTGAGATACAGTGTGTTTTATATTTTTTGTGATTTTTCACGCTTAAGTAAACATCAGTATTTGGGGGTTAGTCCAGAGAGTTGATCTCGACTCCCAGCTGCTCCACGATGGTGATTTTTGGCATAGGTATTCTCTGGTAGCTGCTAATGAAATCTGGCAAAGATAGTTTGTCTACCACTTTGACTTTAGAAAATACGACACAACTCTCACCTATGTGAACTATGAAACAGGGAACCATATTTCAAAACAATGTTGACGATGTTTTTAAAAAAAGCATTATGAGGTAAATATCTAAGTCACGCAATGGTAGACGAACTGGGATATTAAATTCAAACCTTCTACCGGTATATTATCTCTGAATTCTGCAAACATCATTTCTGTGGCCTTATTTCGGTTTCTTCGAAAATAACACCTCTCTATTTGCACAGTGATCACGTGATTACATGGTTCCATTTTTGTTGTTGGAATATTTATTTCATATTATTTGAAAAATAAGCTTTCTAAAAATATACAACTTGATGGGATTCAAAGAATGTGTTACTTTAGAAACGTGCTATGCAATTGCAATAGCAATAACCTCTACTACATCCTTAAGTACTGAAAAGGTTGTGATAACTTACCTGTGCAGTTAATTTGGTGATATCACTGAATGTTCCACGTGGACATTTGTTTGGTGTTGAAGTCCCTACAGGACAGTAGTGGCCCTCTGGACAAATTCCGGCAGTTCCTATAAAACATAATAATTCAATACAATGAGATGAAATTGTGTTCTATTTCTGAATCAGCAATTTTCTTTTTCTCTGCCAAATGCCATTATATATGTACATGTAGCTATCCCAGAATTAAGCAGGACCAGTCAACGTGTGCACCAGTAGATCTTAACCAAGTTCCCTCAAATCACATAATAATTTCATGACTGATTCTTAGCTAGGGCCTCATTGCGGATATGAATCAAACTATTTCAGTTACATGCAAACAAAATATATTTTTTCCAGGTTTTGCGAAAAATAAGAGAAAAATACTAAATCTACATTTCTTACCTCTGAAGTTGAATTCTGGAGTAGGAGTATCAGATCCCTCAGCGCAGAAGTATCCTGCGTCACAGTACGCTGTTGGCGCGGTAGCATTAGGAGATGAACAATACATACCAGCTGAGCATGTCTGACATTCTGTTTCATTAGCTAGGCCATCATTGTTACTAAATGTACCAGGTGGACAGGACTGCCACACCCATCCTGTACCTTCTGGACAATAGTAACCTGAGAAGAAGAAAAAAGAAGAAATATTTATAAACTTCATTTTAGTTACTTGAACTTAGAAAGCTCAATATACTGTAAAACATGTTGAAAATGCGACATACTATTTTAACGAATTATGGTAAAATGACGTAATAGCGAAATGTTGATTTAGCGAATCTCTCTTGTCTTTGTTGATTTTCTGTTTTCAAAATAGTTGTCTGTCACCTTCCAAAACAAATGCACAGTTGTCACCTCCGTAAAAACAAACAAAATCTGTCAAGTGTAATTAGGAAGCGCACCAGATTATTACGTTTTCTACGTTGTTTACAAAGTGTGTGTGAGGAGAAAAAGACGTTGTTTGGCCGCCATTTTGAATTTATAATGAAGTCATTAGCAACATCTTAAATTAGCGAATTAGTTTTCTCTCTAAATTCGCTAAATAGACATGCTCGCGAAAAAGACATGTTTTACAGTACTATATAGTTGAGTGCCATCATTTTGCCTAGTATTTAAATGGATTTTTTTTAATATTTTTGTTTTGGACCAAATGGACATAATTCCTATAGTCTTTATCAAAATTTTAGAATAATGAAAAATATGAATATGAAAAAACTGTGTGGGTTTTAAAATTTGAGAAAGGGGACAAAAGTTGATTTTAGCACTTAGTGTTAAGGTTGTTATAGTGCAATATTATGAGGTTAGTATGAGGATACCTCAAAGTATGCATAAAGACAGTACACAGAGGTCGATGCAACGGTGTACTGTTTGAGTGCATACTTAGAGGTATCCTCGTAATAACC